GGAGGAGCTTTCCCTCTTCTGCCCCCACCAAGCGACAGAGTTGCCGGGTTCTTTCTTTCATCTCCGCACCCTTGTCCTCGATGACGCATCGGCCTTGGAGAATCCCGAATTTGCAAACCTCACGGCTCTTACCACCGTGTGTGTCACCTTTCCCTGGAATCTACTGCACCTAGCCACCCTCCTTCGCCTCCCACGGCTCGCCCATCTAACCACCTCCGCCCCATACCAGAGCCATCAGCTCTCGTCGGGTGCTGCAAGCATAGTGCTGCCATCTTGCCTCAATTCGCTCACTTTTGCAGTTTCTTGTCCTCCTTTCAACACCATCATCTCCCCATCAGCATCGCCATTCACTGAGCTGAAGGAGCTGCTCATCACCAACTACAGTGGGTTCACGAGCCTTCCGGACCACATTGAAGACTTGCTGCCATGCCTTTGCAAGCTGACCATCCGCGAGTGCCGTTCTCTTGTTGGCTTGCCTGAAAGCTTCGCTTCCCTCGGCCGCCTGGAAACGCTCGTACTCTATGAATGCGTTCTCCTTTCCTTACCCAGCAACTTCGGTCACCTACCTGCCCTCAAACTGCTGGTTCTGGAGTTTTTGTCTCTCTCGGAACTCCGTCCTTCCTGCAAGGGTCCTGCGTGCTACGCCCCGCGCGCGCGACTTGTCGTGCTGCCTCGCAACCCCGTGCGCCGCCCGCCCTGCTGTCGCGGCTGCCTGCTGCGCCTGCGCACCTGCTTTCCCTCCCGTCCCTTCTCCTCCCATCTCTCCATCTCCCCCCCCCTTCCCACTTCCCCCCACACATCCAGGGACCTGAGCTCCAACTACCTCACTAGCAATGTGCCGCAGGTGCCTTCTGGCCGTAACATTGAATTCAAGTGAGTCGTGTTTCCAGGGATTCCTCCTTGGTGCTGCACCAAATATTGGCTTCACCAGGGAATCTGGTGAGTCTCTTAGGTCCAACGCAGTTCTCCTACTTGTTCTCACCCCGTTTAGTATGTTTCTAATTCTCTTTGATCTCTCCCTTCTCACTCAGCCTCTCCATTCGCGCACTGCAAATGCTTGGAGAATACAGCAAGGTGTGGGAACTTTTGAGGTGCCTCAAAAGCCATTGTTTGGTTGCTTGGCAAGTACAGCGGGTTGTGGGAGACATGATAAACCGAGCCAAGGACTGTTCGCTCGTTAGAGTCTGGGATGCTTGCATGGCAGGGCAGGGACAAGGGCAGGCCATGGTTACGGGCTTGGCCTGAGCCTGCTGCAAAGTGATGCTCTGAGCTTGGTGAGCTTGGTTCCTCCCAACCCAGCGGTGAGTTCGAGAGAGCGAGAGAGAGAGAGAGAGAGAGAGAGAGAGAGAGAGAGAGAGAGAGAGAGAGAGAGAGAGAGAGAGAGAGAGAGAGAGAGAGAGAGAGAGAGAGAGAGAGAGAGAGAGAGAGAGAGAGAGAGAGAGAGAGAGAGGCACTAGGCCCTTTCCTTAGTCTCTCCAAGCTCTCTAGCTTAGCCTAGCCTTAGCATAGCATAGACTTAAGGCTTCCTTAGCCTCCGGTCCCTAGTGTATTCCCTGCAGCTTGCCTACAAGGAGTACATTAACACTTATAGCTTCCCCTACTGCCTCATTCCTGCCATTATTTTCTGGTGAGCTTGGTACATTAACTCTCTCTCTCTCTCTCTCTCTCTCTCTCTCTCTCTCTCTCTCTCTCTCTCTCTCTCTCTCTCACACACACACACACACACACACACACACACACACACACACACACACACACACACACACACATACACACACACACACACACACACACACACACACAAGCGGTCCTAGATTAATGTGTATACAAGGTACAAGCAAGGCATGTGCAAGATTTTAGCAAGCAAACCCTAGGCATGCAAGAGATATTATCTTGGTATTTAGCAAACAGTCTAGGTATTTGGCCGGCTAGCCTACAACCATGCGACCCCAACTGTGATCAGGCCAAGCCAACACCCTCCTGTAAGGTCTGCCCAATGGCTGGCCAGCGCAACCGAGGGGCCTACCCAGTGCCCCGAACCCCTTTACCGCGGCCTGGAGCCTCCTCTCGCTCCAGCCCCTCCTTCTCCCTTCACCCATCCAGGGCCGGCCCCCAGTCCAGCCCATCCTCAAGGACTTGCTAGAGGTCCCCGAGGCTGGGTTCCCACGGCTCTGCTGGGGCCTGGGGGAAGGCCCTCTCCGTCGCCCTGTTGGACTTGGCCAGCAGGGCGTTCGCCTGGCTGCGCAGTCAGCTTGGAGGCTACTGAGGTGAGCCTCCCCTGCCTGTGCTTTTTCTTTGCCGCCTGCGTGCCAAGGAGACGAAGGAACCTCTGGGTGTCCTGCGCTAAGGCCCCATACGTTTCCACCGCCAGCCCGAATACCCCTACGAAGTCTGGGCGCCCCTCGTACAGCCCCCTTTTCGTCCTTGCTGCCTCCTCTGCCGCCCAGCCCGGTCCTCTGGTGGCCCCCAAATCACTCCGCTGTAGCACCGGATCAGTGACCGTGACGTCTGTGACGAACGTTTCAGCAGACTCACGGTCTTTGATAGCCAATTCCGCTCGCTTAGGGTTGACGGGTTGCGAGTAGACAGCGGTCTCATGCAAAGTCATGTAATCCGCTTCGCGCGCCATTCGCAGTGCCGCATACACCAGAGAATTGTGCGTGTTTGTCCTGTCATTTCCTTCCGCGCACCTCAGCAGGTGGTTGGGGAGGCTCCGGTCATGTACATGTGATCGTTCACCGTGGCACGGGCACGTGTCTGTCACTGGCAGGGTCAGCCCCAAGCGAAAGCCCAGGGCTATTGCATATTGGCCCGGCGAAAACGTCAGGTCCCCTCTCGTAGGGATGGCGTGTAGCCAATCCCTTGCCCCTACTCCCTGCAGGCTGATCAAGCGGATTACATGGCCATTATCCTCCCCCGGTTTATCCACCCAAGTATCGCCCAATAGTTCCGCTGCCCGGTCCTGATTGATATGCTTGGAGAGGAGCTCCTGAAGTTGCCCCTTCCCCCCCTTTTCCTGGCTGAAACCCCTAAGCAGCTCCTGTGCCGCCTCTCGGAGCCTGTTCTGCATGTCCTGTAGCGTAGTTCTGCTGCCCACTGCTGCCCCTTCCCCTTGCGGTGAGACCAGCTCCCCTACACGCCGCAGCGGGTGATCTGGCGTGGCCGTAACCTGCTGCAGGAGGTTCTGGGCTGCATTTAGCGAGGCTAGGTATGCCGCCGGTGCCTCCGAGAATGGGTCAATGAGCCCTAAACCTCCCAGCGCCACCGGCAGAGTCACCTGTCTCCATACCAGGCTTTGCTCGAGCTCCTTTGTTGGTGTGTGTAGGTGGGCCGCCTTGAGGGCTGTCCAAAGTAGCCGCTCACTCCACTCCCTCCATTCTCCGAGTGGTAGCGCGTCTGCAGGTGTGGTACGCAGGAGATAGGACGCCCGGCGGGAGATGCACCGTGATAGTAGCATCATAGCGTGTTGAGGGTGAAGGCGGCCGATGAGGCCGAGGGGTGCAGACATGGTTCCTAGCGCGCCCCTAATAAACCGCCTGCAGAACGCCATCGTGTCAACTGGGCTCCCTAGGACTCTTTTACCGTCCACCGCCGCCACCAGTCCCTCTGGCAAGGTATCCGAGATCCCCGAGGGGCTCCACGCAGATGATTTGGTGAGGTTGCATCTCAGGCTGTGTCAATGGAGCTCCCCACAGATCATGTCAAGCGCCCTAATCGCCCCTCCCGCCTCCCCCACGATTGTGATGTCGTCGGCGTAGGCCATTATTGTTACCGATGGGACCACTTCTGCCACTGTCAGAAGTGCCGGTTGGATTGCCATCGCGAACAACATTGGGCCGAGCGGGTCTCCCTGGCGGACTCCTCTCGTACTGTCAATTGTTGGGACCCCGAAACCACTGTCCAGGAGGAGCTTCGATGGTGAGCCGTATAGCGTGCGCACGAGCGGGAGGAGAGATATTAGCCTGGTCCATCTCATCGACCCTAGGAAGCTCCCGCGTTCAACAGAGTTGAACGCATTCTCTATGTCCAGCTAGAGGGCTATCCGCGTGGGAACTTTGGCTAGTAGCGCTCTAGTCGTGTGTATTATGCATTCCGCACCCCCTGGGACTGACACACCGAACTGTACGGGCATGAAGTAGCTACGAATCTCCTCCCCTAGTTCCTTGAGTGCCGCTTTGGCTGTTAGTCGTAGTAGTGCTTCCCCTATAGCTATCGGTCGAACTCCTCCGTCCGGTTTGCTAAGGGCGATCAGTCTAGATGGGAGGAGTAATTCCTGGATCTGCTCGTTCTGGTAGCTGCTTAGCAGGTGGTTCACGATCTTGTGCAGCAGGTCAAAAACTTCCGCGTTGGTTAAGGCAGGGTCGCGAAGGTGTTCGAAATAGGTGCCTGATGGGCCTGCACCGATGCCGTTGGGGCATTTTGCTAGCAGTTCGCGAAACTTGTCCGCACTGATGTCGAGCCCACTGGATGTGTAACCATTACCTCCCTCCGGTATCGCCTGTATTGCTCCAGGGTGTTTCGCGCGGAGGGCCTCGAGAGTTGTCTGGGATGGCTCTGCTAGTGGTGTTACGTGTAGGGCTGCTGTCGCTTTTGCCAAGTTGGCCATGCGAACCAGTCCTTCCGCCCTGGCAGAAATGCCTTCGGGGTCAGGCTCGTGTCTGGGGGGTTTGGAATCTGCGGGGATGGTGCTGGCCTGTAGGTACAGTGCATCCCAATCCTCCTCTCGGAATTGTCTCAGCCTCGACTCCACCGCTTGCCATTTGTTTCCTGGAACTTTCTCGAGAGTTGCCCTCAGTGTCAGTCTGGGCAGGAATAGCAGGATTCGCCACGCCCCGAGGCAGTCTGGTTGCCTCGACAGTCGCAGGAGTGGTATGGTGAGGCAGTGACTGAACGATTTTAGAATTTCTGGCGGAAGCTTCCTGACCAGGAAGGGTTGGGAGCTGGCTCGTAGGGGACCTAGGTCCCAAGCCTTTACCCGCTTCCACGCGTCACCATCTTCCATGATTTTAGCTGGTGACCGCTCTTTGCTGGCAGCCCCATTTGCCGGCTTGCCTTATGATTCGCCCACCTATCCAGTCCCGTCCACCCCCCCCGTGTCCCTCCCTCGTCCCTGTCCACACCCCCACCTTGGTCCTCCTAGTAAGGGTACCCCATCTTCTGCTTCCACAGAGACATCTTCTGATTCCGCTTCCTGCTTTGCACTATATTTGAAGCCACTCTCCTCCTCGTTGCTATTCATTGGTTGTTCTACTTGCTCCTTTGTCCTGCCGTGCCTTTCCTGCCAAGGTCCAGATCTCGCCTTCTCCTTCGCCACCGATCGCACGAGGTCGCCCATGCGACCTCCCCTTCCCCTGCCCCTCCCTCAGCCCTTGGGTACCGTTCTGCCTGCTGTGTCTTGCGCTTGCGACGTCATCGCCCTGCGCTCTGCTTGCTCTTGCAAGGTTCTCTTCCGCATCATCCCCGCACGCTGCCTTCGCTCTGCCGTTACCGCCGCCCTCGCCTCCTCCTCGTCGTGATCGTCGTCTGCGTTCTGGGGTCGTAGTACGTCGGTTATTTCAGTTCGTGGTTCTTGGCGTCTTGACGATGACGGGCAAGCGCCGTCGTCCCCCCCTGCAGCATCGTGCGACGGGTCGTCCTGACGCTCCCACCCCGCCAGAGGCCCCGGGCGCGCTGGCGCCAATCCTACTCCGAGCTGCCGCTGCCCTGGTTGCGCGCGAGGAAGGCACCGTCCCCTCGCACCCCCGGGATCCGATTTATCGATCTCCTCGTGGGCGGACCCACCCAAACCTTCGCGCGCGCGGAGGGTCGTTCCGTACCTGCCGCCCTCCTCGGCGCTCACCTGCTGTCCAGCGACAGGTGATCGGTCCGCTCCTCCAGCAATCCGCTCTTGCCGCGCGATCCCTGCCGCTGCGGCTTCCTCCCTCGCTGTCTCAGTCGGCATCGTCTCTGCCGTGCTCGGCGTGGGAGCCCCCGCCCGCAGCTGTTCCTCTGCCTCCTCCGTACACCCATCCTCCACCCGAGGCGTCACCCCCCGTTCATGCCCCTCCGGCCGCGCCTTCTTTCCCGCTGCCCCCATCAGCGCCTCCTCCTGGTGGTCCACCCGTTCCTCCTCCCCCTCCTTCCCCCCGGTCCTAGACGGGGCATGCTGTGACCTCTACTGTGAGGATCTAGGATCAAGGTCAGAAAAGAGAAGTGTAATTGAATTGAATGATTCACCTAGGTACAAGACGAGGCTATATATAGGCTCGACACAAAGGCAGTAACCTGGGTGTTACTAGAAGGTTCCGCGGGTCGCGAAGCGTCCCGAACGGGTACTTCTCGAATTCGGTAGAAGGCAATTCGTGGCAACCGAAAAGCCTAGAATTCGGTGCACTCAACCTAGTTCGGTGCTATAACTATAATAACTATAGTAAAAGAAACGAACCTAGGAAATCAAGCAAAAGCAAGCAAGGCAAAATAAAGCTAAGCTAGATAATGCGTAATAAAGTCCACGCAAGCTAGCAAAGCCAGCATAAGCCGTCTTACTCTCACACGTCCCCCCCCTAAAGCTGGGTGGCGTGAGAAACACCCTGCTTGACAAGATAGTCCTTGAGAGCACGGCGTGCGTTGCCCATATCAGCTTCTGCAACCCAACTGTCCTCAGTGGGGTCGTATCCCTTCCATCGTATCAGGAACTCGAGGGTCTTGCCGCCGCGGTGCGAATGAGTGAGAACGCGCTCCACTTCGTACTCTGGTTCATCCTATATGAGAACAGGTGGTGGTGGCGGTAGCTGGCGTCCCTGGAACTGTTTGTTGGGGTCCTTGTAGGGCTTCAGTAGCTGAACATGGAAAGCGTTGTGAAGCTCCCACGTATCTGGTAAGCGCAAGCGGAATGTAACTGGTGTCACCTGTGCCTCAACGAGAAAAGGACCACAGAAGCGAGGCCGAAGTTTGGATGGGAGGTGAGATAGGTTCAAGTTGCGCGTTTTAAGAAGCACCTGATTTCCGACTGCTACTGAGTGATCTCGTCGTTAACGATCGGCATACTGCTTCTGGGAGTTCTGCATCGTGGTGAGATGTCGCTGAGTCTTCTCCCATAGCTGCTGCATGGTGGTGACGAAGTCATGTGCGGCTTGGACGTGTGCCGGTGTGGTTGGCTGCTGTGGTGTGAGTGGTTCCCGTCCGTAACACAGAAAGAAAGGAGTTTTCCCTGTGGCCGCATGTGATGCGTTGTTGTAAGCGAACTCGAGGGTCGGTAACTGTGTGTCCTAGTGGGTGACTGTCAGAATTATATTGTTATAACTGCATGTAGTTCTAGCTGTAGTGTAGTTATCCTAATCATCCTGTTTGGTGGTGCACCTTCTTGTCATGCTTCTTGCCTATTTGTACCTTTGATTCTATAGTGAAACCCCTCTTTTGGCAAAATCTCTCGACATGTTCATCTCTAAGTCTCCTCCTACCCCAAACCCTAGTCTTAGCTTAATCTACTATTTTGATATGGTATCAGAGCTATAAGCTCCTGGACCTACGTCTAAATGGGCCCACCCTTTCGTAGCAATGACGCCCCTGCTAGCGCACAAGCGCAAATACTGCAGAAGCTTCATGCTCGTTTCTGCCAGCTCACGGAATGGCAGCTCCTACGCTCGTCGCTCGCCCCGTCGCCCTGCCACTGTAGTCGCCGCGGCGCCCCGCGTCCCGTCGCCGCGGCGCCCCACGATCTGTCGCCGCGGCGCCTCGCATCGGCGCCCCGCGTCCTGTCGCCTCGGCGCCCGCTTCCAACGCGGACGCCTGCTCCCGACGTCGTCGCGGACGCCACCGCCAGACGCAAGCGCCGACGCCAGCGCCAGGCACCAACGCCGACGCCAGCGCCCAGCGCCAGCGCTGACGCTAGCGCGGACTCCAACGCTCGAAGCGGACGCCGGTGCCAGGCGCCAGCGCGGACGGCAGAAGCCAGCGCCAGCGGCAGGTTGCGGGGGGAGGGTGAGGGAAAAGGGGGAGAGTGTGACAGAGTGACGAGAGAGATTCTGCCGAGCCAGCAGCCGCCCCTCCTCCTCTCTCTCTCACTGCCGCGCGTGCTGCCGTGGGGGGGAGGGTGAGACGGTGGCGGAATTCAGCCGGGCATCTGCTGCTGCGGCCAGCTGCTACTGTGGCACCTCCAGCTGTCGCCCCTGTCGCCACCTGCCCTGTCTTTTGCTACCTGCTGCTGGGGCCTGCAGGTGCTGCCGTTGAGCCGCTGCTGTCCTGCTGCACGTTGCAGCCACAGAGCCTGCTCCTCAAGCGACCTGTCGCCCCTACACTTGCTTCTGCTGCTTCTATCTTGGCTGAGGGGTTGGTGCAGCTGAATCTGCTACCACTGCACTGGTTGCAACTGCTCTTGCTTGGTGTTGCTGTTTTCTCTGTCTATGATGTACCCCTGCAGGTTGTGTCTTGCACTTGGCTATTCTTGCATGCAGTTATGGGGGGATGTCAGAATTATATTGTTATAACTGCATGTAGTTCTAGCTGTAGTGTAGTTATCCTAATCATCCTGTTTGGTGGTGCACCTTCTTGTCATGCTTCTTGCCTATTTGTACCTTTGATTCTATAGTGAAACCCCTCTTTTGGCAAAATCTCTCGACATGTTCATCTCTAAGTCTCCTCCTACCCCAAACCCTAGTCTTAGCTTAATCTACTATTTTGATAGTGACGTCGTCTTTGCAAGCTGTGCGCAGTAACTGTTCAACCACCTGATTGAGTCGCTCGGTCTGTCCGTCAGTCTGTGGGTGGTATGCTGAGGACTTCCAAGTTTGGTCCCCAATAGTCCCATGAGCTCCTTCCAGAACTTACGGGTGAATTTGGGGTCTCTGTCTGAGATGAGTGTAGCGGGGATGCTGTGGATGGTGATGATGCGGTCGAAGAATAGGCGAGCAATTGCTTCAGCTGTAGCCGTGGCATTGGTCGGGATGAAGTGACCCATTTTGGAGAACTTGTCGATCACCACGAGTATAGCGTCATGGCCTCGTGAGGTCGAAGGAAGTCCCGTGATGAAGTCGAGGCTAACGATTTGCCATGGTTGCTCCGGTACGGGTAGAGGCTGAAGTAACCCTACTTTTTTCTACTTGTTGCTCTTCATCCGCTGGCACGTGTCGCAAGAGGTGACGAAATGCTGCACGTCTGCTGCCATCCCGGGCCAGTAGTCATACTTCGCTATCCCTGCTAACGTCTTGTTGCTCCCGAAATGTCCCGCGTAAGGTACGTCGTGAAACTCCTCCAATAGGATCTGCCGTAGCGGGGCGTAATTCGGTACACAAATATTTCATGAACCCTTCATTACAGCTAAGTCTTTCTCCCACTGTAACAACTTCTTGGTCTGTGCTGTAGCGATCTCTACGTCCACGGAGTACCCATGTTGGAATAGACCCTTGAGCAGAGGGTTCATCCCGTCGAGCTGGATGCCTGCTACATGTCCGGGGCGGCTCAACGCATCTGCCTTGATGTGTAGCCCGGGCTTGTAGACGATGTCGTAGTGGAAGTGAGTTTCCAGGAAGTCCACCCACTGCACCTGTCGTCGTGAGAGTGTCAGATGCAACTTCAGGTATTTGAGACTGTAGTGGTCAGTATAGACTGTAGTCTTGGCTCCCTCTAGGTAACACCTCCACGCCTTGAAGGCTATGACTATCGCTAAGGCTTCCTTGTCATGGATGGGGTAGTTCAGTACTGCTCCGTGTAGCTTCTTACTGAGGTAGGCGATGGGCTGCAAAACGCATCCGTGATCCTGCATCAGATTTGCTCCGACTGCCGGGTCACTAGCGTCTGCTTCCACCACGTAGTCCTTGTCTGGGTCCGGTGGGATGAGTACTGGCACTGTAGTTAGTGTTGTCTGTAGCTGCTCCATGGCTTGCTGATGAGGAGTATCCCATTTGTAGGGCGTATCCTTTTTCAATAGGTCGGTTAGTGGCGCTGCTATCTTAGCATACTGCGGCACGAACCTGTTATAGTAGTTGGCAAAGCCTAGGAACTGCTGCAACTCCTTCACGTTCTTCGGTACTTTCCACTTCTTGACGGCTTCGATTTTCCGTGGGTCCACGTGTACGCCCTCGGCACTCACCATGTGCCCGAGAAATTGCACCTTCTTCAGGGCGAAGTCGCTCTTCGACAGCTTCACGTAGAACTTGATTTTCCGCAGGATCTCGAACACCTTCCATAGATGCTCCATGTGCTCCTTCATGTTCCTGGAGTAGATAAGAATGTTGTCCAGGTTCACCACCACACACTCGTCCAGCAGGGGTCGAAGGATATGATTCATCTCGGCCTGAAACGTTGCTGGTGCGTTGCAGAGTCCGAACGGCATCACCAAGTATTCGTAGGAGCCGTATCTGGTACGGAACGCCGTCTTGTGGATCGAGTTGTCCGCCATCTTGATCTGCCAGTAATCCAACCGTAGGTCCAGCTTCGAAAAGACTGTTGCACCACGCAGTTGGTCCAGTAAGTTGTCTATGCGCGGTATGGGATATTTGTTTTTTACTGTCTGTTTGTTCAATGCGCAGTAGTCGATGCACATCCGTAAACTGCCGTCTGGTTTTGGAGTGAAGAGAACTGGTGTACCATAGGGAGAGGTGGATGGGCGGATCAGTTGTCTGTCCAGTAGATACTTTATCTGTTTCTTCATGTCTGTCAGTTCGGTCGGACTCAGTCAGTATGGTGCGCGTGAGACGGGTTTCGCACTTGGTTCCTCCACGATCTCGTGCTCGTGGGTGCGTGCTGGAGGTACGCATGCAGGTAGGTCGTTGGGCATATATCCTTGTACTGCTCCAGGACCTCCTTCACTGCTGCAGGTAGCTCCGTACTCGGCTTCTCCTCCTCTGCTGCTGCCATAATCAGTGCTAAGTAACCCGTGTTACTCTCGTTCACCGTCTGTTTGAACCATGCCGGTGCCATTTCAGGAACGCTCCCTGTATCCGTCCAGCTTCGCAACTCCACTCGTTTCCTGTTGTTGTAGATGCACGCCTTCATGTTGATCCAGTCGATCTTGGGGTTGAACTGCTTCAGGAAATCTCGCCCCAAGATGAAATCTAGACCCTTGATGTTCGTGATCGGCAACGTCGGCTTCCACCTCAGCGCCCCTATGAGCAGCTGGAGTGATGCTTCGCCGTGGATGGGAAGTTTCATACCGTCCA